CACACACACACACATACACACACACACACAAAACTATACTCATACACACACGCACATACACACACGCACATACACACACAATACACTTACTGATTTTCATCCAGTTCTGGAACATGTTTTGGGTTTTCCTGTTGATCGACTGTGGAGATTTTATTGCACCACAATATTATGACATGGAAATGGTAACGGTATTCAAAGTAATAATGTTCACAGCAAAGAATAAACTAAAGCATACCCCCTCCCCCACATAATATAGTAGCTCCGTTACCTCAAGCGATATTGATCAGAACTATTCTGGGTTGAATCGGTCACTTGCTGCAATAATGGGACGGTGAAAAATATCCGCTCTGGTCGCTTGACGCAGTTCTGCGACAAGCCCAAGAAGTCCGTTACAGTCACTCTCCTGGCTACGTGACCAGATGGGGTATTTCGTGCAGCTTGCTGTTTGACTGAGAGTCTCTCTACTTTGGGAGTTTTTACGGCTCTCTACTCATCAGTCTTGGTCCTATAGGTACTGAGCATTAAAATCGGAAGCCTTGCTTTTTAATAACTTATTAAAAAGCAAGGCTTCCGAACTAGTCATTTAATGTTGAAAGGGTCATGATAAAAAAATCGTAATTTTCGATGTTTTAGGTCCCCAGCTACATTATTTAGAATACTTAGGAGGTTGACCTCTTTGAACCTGTGTTTGAAGCTCTATTCAGAGATAACAGTAAACTGAGGACCTCTTTTGACGGCTGGAATGGCTGGTAAAAGTGAATTTCGACCCTTTCCCTTTTCTTAAAATAAGTTAAAAACGTCTCTTTTGAATTACGTCGCGGCGTGTATACAGTGTGGGTGTGTATATTGGGTCAAGTGAGCACAAAATGGAGGGCCTAAGTTTACTTTTCGAGTTGTGTGAAGCCGTGCGCTGTCCACATTGGACTTTAAAAAGTTATTAGAAACATACGCCTACTATCTAACCAAAGGCCTTCATGAGACTGCGCACGAGCCTTTTTTTGGAATGAATCAATGTAATATAAGGAAGAAAGACATACGCA